GGGGGGGGGAGGAAACGGGCGAGGGGAAGAGAAGGAGAGATGGATGGAGGAAGTGGAGGGGGAGGGGAGAGGAGGAGGGCCGACATGTGACAGAGTAGTGGACGGATGCTGTTGGGCGTCAGGTTCTTGAACAGCGTTTTTTTCCGGGGTCGGGGGGAGCGTGTCGTTGCTGCTCGCCACAGCATCGTCCCGCAGATCACCCACTGGCTCCGCCCGCGCGAACGCCTCCTGTAGCAGATAGCGTGTATTGTTTACCTACCAAACCCACCGCCACTCATCCACCACCACCACTCCGGATCCCACGTATCCGGTCACAACGCCGACCTTGGTCCCATCAACCACGCTTGCCTCGATCGCACGCCGCTGCGCTGCCACAGCCTGCAGTCCGACATGCGCCCGGCCGACTTCGCGCGCCTCATCGTCTGCAAGCGACACCACAAGCTCGATGTCTCCCACTTCAAATCCGTGCGCAATCGCAAGCTCGCTGCTGCTTCCGTTGTTGTCCAGCTCGCCGCTTCGCCCGATCTCAGCACCGTTCACCAGCGCCCGGAGAACCACAGAGATCGCCTCTGTCGGCATCCCGCTCATCGTCAGCCGCCGGACCGCCACACTCATGATACTTCCGCGCACCTCGCCCTCCATCACCACACAGCTGCTCATTACCAGTGACGCTCCGCTTTCGCCAAAGCTGAACCGTGCCCCGCTCCCTCCGCTGGCCACAGCCATCATCCGCAGCGTCGTGTCAAAGCTCGCCTCGCCGTAGCAAACCTCCACACCGCGGTCGAGCGCTTGCTTCCCCACCACAACCTCCATTTCGCTCATCTTGACCGCTCCGGGCGCGCTCTCATACACCACCCGCCCATCTACCCGCATCACCACAGGCTGCAGCGCAGCCGCGCCCTTGACCACCGCGGCGCCTTCGAGCGTCGCAGACAGACACACTCCGCATCCGTTCGACATCTCCGTCGCCGCACCCGCCACAACCTCGCTCAGCGACACAATCTGCACCACCCCGCCCGAGGCCACTCCGCCGCCAGCAAGCAAGTTGGCCATCGTCACCCGGTTCCGCGCCCCGCCCACAACCACAGTCAGCGCCGCGTCGCACGCCAAAGTCGCCACCCACTTGGCATTGCTGCCAAAGCTCCGCGCCAGTGCTTTGCCGTCCTCTGTCCACACCTCCACGCTCGCCGCATTGGCCCACTCACCGCGCGTCGTGCACCGCAGCACCGTAGAAGAGAGCCAGCGCTCATCGCACACCCGCTCGTCCAGCGGCATGCATCCGTCGCGCGCGTCGTCCGTCCACCACACGTCGGCCCCAACCATTTGTCCGCTGTCGCGCCGCAGGCCGTACCGGTGCGCCTCGCCGCGTGCACGCGCCAGGATCGTGCCCAGCGGCACCTCCATCGCCCCGCGTCTGCTCCGATCCTTGCCGTCGAGCACCTCGATCCGCACGCTGCTTGTACTTGCGCTTGCAGCCGGAAGCGTTACTCCCACACCCTCGCGCACAGATATCGCGCTGCCCAGCGTCCGACACCAGACCTCACCGTCCATGCTCAGCTGCACAAACCCGCTTGGGCGCGCTCCGGCCTCGCGCACAAACACTGTCACAGTCTCCGACTGCTCGCCCATCGGCTCCGGATCAAACACCAGCCGTGTCACCCGCATCGTCCCATGCGCCGCGCGCTCAAGTCGGAGCGGCGGACCAACTCCGCCGAGCCCGAGCACTTGGTTTGTCCACGCCACCCGGCCCACCAGATCGTGGTCGCCGTTGCTATCCCAGTCCCACACCTCGACCACAACAGGCAGCGCCGCCAGCGGGATGCGCAACTCGCTAAACTCGGCGTTGCTCGCGTTCTTCTGCATACCGCTCACATGCACCACTCCGCACACGCCACGTACAACCAAGAACGGATCACTCGCAGAGAGGCTGTCGTGCGACGGTAGATTGCTGCAGCCAAGGCTGACCACCACCGCACCGCCGTCGGCATCGCTGCGCCATGGTAGCGCAGCAGCAGCGGCGGCGACAGCCTCGCTCACGCTCACAAACGCCATTGGCGGCTCAGTCGCGATCGCCATCATGCCCACCACGTTGCTCCCGTCATCCGTCATCACCACTCCACCACGGCTCTGCGGGAATCCGATCGCAGACACGTCGAGCGTCACACGGCCCACCACTTGCTGCGTGCCGTTCCTGTCCACCTCAACCGCTTCAAGCTCAACACCTGTCGATGCCACCACCTGCTGCAGCTCGTACACCTCTGCACCGCCGGCAAACACAGCCGAGTGCCACTGATCTGTCCGAAACATCACAGACTTGTCGCCCGAACTCTTCAGCCCATGCACCCGTGCCAACGGAATGATCACTCCCTCGCCGCTCTCGCGCCCGCCGTCTGCCGGGCCGGCCACAGCGCGATGAATCGTCAGGTACCCATTTCGCTTCCTACTGCCGCGCCACGCGTAGTCCCATGTCAGCGTTGCGTCAGCAACGTCAAGCTCTCCGTCCAGCACAGTCCTCATCTCCCACGATGGCGTGATCGCAACGATCCGGACAAAGACCTGCGACCCGGGCGCCGCGCTCACACACAGTGCCCGCCACTCGGCCTGGCCCGACACCACCCCCGTGCTCATGCCGACCCCGAGCACATCTCGCTGCCCCGCATCGAGCACAACAGCCTTCAGCCGTGTTCCATCCTTGACACCGATCCCGCCCGCAGTGACAGAGAGCACATACCCCTCGTCCCACGCCGGGCGCACACCGTCGTCGTCGCCGGTCTCGCCAGCCTCGCCACTCACCAGTGTCATCTGTATGCTACCGCCACGCATTTCTGCTACGTGCCGGAGCCCAGGCGCCGCCGCCGCAAACAGCGCCGGTGTCACACGCGTCGAGTCCATCATCACGCCGTCTGGTCCGTACACCCGCAGTTCCATGCCCGTCCATCCAGACGCCGCAACACGGGCCGCGTGCCCAGACACCCGGTAATCGCTCCCGGCTCTCCGCGATCGGTACACCGCACCTCTCACTCCGGGCACCCCGAGCTCCATATACCCACCAGGTGTACCCACCGTGCCCTCGATCCACAGCGATAGCGCCGGACTCGGCTCACCTGAACCTGCGACCTCCGCATCGTACCTCAGCTCCTGCATCGCCAGCACACCCGACAACTTGCCAAAGCCGCTCCACCAGTACAGCTCGCTCCGATTCGGTGCCAGGCACAGATCGGGCACCACGTCAAAATGGCACGAGTGTTGCACCGCCAGGCATCCGTCGGCATCGCACGCCACCATCATCAGTCGGTTTTCGCTCGCAAGATCCGTCGCCGCCGGTAGCACAAGATCGCGGAACACAAGCTCACATTCACCGCCCTCTCCAAGCGCATCCACAACCGCCATCGCAGACGCCACCACCGTCTCGGTTCCGAGTCCCGACACTAGCTTGTACCGCCCGCCAACAACGGCTCCTCGCACTCGTGCCAGGTAAATGCCCGGGTATCCTCCGGTCGCATCCGCCTCTCGCGCCGTCGCCGGCATCGCCTGCCGCGGCAGCGGGAACGGCAGCTCGGCGACAGCCGAGCTCGCCACTACGTGCAGCCCGCCCCATCCCGGGACCTCAACCCCCCACGGGAGGAACGCCACCTCGTCTGGCACTCGAGTCTTGACTACAACGCTCCACTGCCCGCATCGAAGCCCGGTTGGGCTCGACTCGGCCCGCCCCACCCGGACGCTGATCTCGCCGGCCGGCACCGTCATCGGCGCCCAAGCCTCGCCCGATGCCGCAGCATTAGTCCACCACACAACCCCGCACGTCTCGCTCCGAACCTCCATCCAGAACCGGTCAACCTCGGAGGGCTCCTGTGCCTCAAACACCACACTGAGTGTCACCGCATCCGCCCGCGGTGCGAGCGGATCCTGCAGCGCCGGCAGCTCCACTTCGGTCACGCCTACGCTGCCATCGGTCCACACGTCGACGCTCCTGGCCCATCCTCCACTCATCGTAACCCGGCACCGCTCCAGCAGCGCGTGTGGCATCGACACCGTCCCAATACCAAGCTTCTTGAGGCCAGCCAGCCGGCTCACCACCGCCCGCTCAAGCGTAAACGTCAGCGAGCGTTTGAGGCTCGCCACAGGCACCACGAGCACATCGCTCGTGCTCGTTGCCACGCACTTGCCGTCCGCTATCGCACGCCACACACCCACGCCGTCGCACGCGCTCGAGCTCGAGCTCGGCTTGTACGCGGCAAGCGTTAGCGCAATGCCGATCGCCTCGCCGCTTGCCGCGCGCACCAGCACATCTGATGCCCGAATCTTGGGCTCGGGACACCCTGCGCCGGCGTTGTGCTCGATACTAACACACAGGCCACCGGTACTACCAGCCTGCACCTGTGCACGCCTGAGGGCAGTCAGATACCACGGGCCGGCACAGACATCGGTCACCTTGACCTCGGCCTCGCCAATCTTGTCGTGCTTTCCGTCGTTATCAAAGTCGTAGACAACCACCTTGAGCGTTGGCGGTACACTCTCCAGCGCAAACGGCGGCCACTTCGGCGAGAGCTGGTTCATCACCACCGGCGTGACATGCAGCAGCTCGTCGCCAGCCCATACTTCAGCAAATGGATCAGACTTGCCCAAAGCAGAGTCAAGGTTGTCGAGCGAAACGCATGAGAGCCGCACCACGCTCAGGCCGCCCGATGCTCCGCCCTCGTCTCTCGGCTCCAGCACAGGCCGCATCGCCACAAACACCATCGCGCCCGCAGACTCGTTGCGATCATAAACCTTGATCGCCTTGGTCAGCGGTGCGTACTGCAGCTCGCGCACGCTCGCACCCACACGTCCCAGCAGCTCATGGTCGCCGCGCTTGTCCGCACTGTACATCGCCACATTCAGCATGCCGTCCGCCACGCTCCCGCCCAGCGCCTCGGCCTCGATCCGGAACGTCCCGTAGCTCGCGCCCTTGGTCTTGCTGACAACCTCAGACCTCGCCACCACTAGTCCGGACGCGTTCTCGATGACCACAAACGTGCCGCTGGTATTGAGCTTGTTGCCGCCAATCTCGACCTCGATCCCGAGGCTCTCTGCCGGCACCGCCACTCCGCCGCCAGACTCCGCTGCCGCAGCCTCGGCGGCGGCCACGCTGTCGTACTTGGACACCTCAAACTGCATCCGGCCCTGCGGCCCGCGCCGGTCGCTGCAAGTGAGAGAGCCAGAGACCCAGCTTCCCGCGCAGAGTGATGCCTCGCTCACCAGCCATCCACCGATCTCGTCGTGATCACCATCGCCGTCAGCGTCGTAGACAACCACCTGGAGATCGCGCCCGCTCACCTCGCCCAGGTCGACCACAAACGGCGCCCAGCTTGGACTCAGGTTGTTCTTCACCACCCGCGACCGGTGCACCAAGTTTGGCCCGCACTTGATCGTGAAGAACGGGTCAGACTTGCCGCGCATCCCGTCGAGGTTGGCCAGCTTGTACGCCGACGGCGTGAGTGTCACCGCTACCGGTCGGCTAACTGCCTCGCTCACGTCGGCAGGCGACACCTCGACCACCTCAAGCACTACACCCGCAGCCACAAAGCACATCGGTGCCGTCCCGATCTCGCGCACTTCGCGGACCGTAGTCTGCACTTTGGCAACCGTCTCGTGAGCCCCAGATGGTTCAAACCTCCATATCGCCACCTCGAGCTCGCAGTGGCTTGCTGGCGCGCGGAGCGTAAGTGGCGCAAAGTCACAACCGCCGCGACGGACCTCGACCACCTCGCTCCTGTACACCAGCGATCGCCTGGCCGAGACTTCCAGGAACGCACGCCCGCGTTTGCCAAGCGAGAGCCTGCTGACCCGGATTCCGAGTCGGACCGCGTCAAGCAGCTCACGATGGGTAGCCTGGACGCTGGCCTCACTCGCGACCACCAGTGCGAGCGAGACCGCTCCGGCGGTATCGGCACCGGCAAAGCAGAGCGTGCTCGATGCGTTTGCCCACAAAGCCCCGGTGATCAGAGCAACTGTCGCCCACGGCGCCATTGCCAACTCGCCCAGCGTTGTTCGTCCGCAGCCAACAAGCTCCGCCTCTTCCCACACCTGGACAGAAACGCTGGTCTCGTCGTCGACCGCCACCGGGGCCAGCAGCATCTCGGCACTCTCCCACACGCCACGCCCGGTCGCATCAACTGTCACCGGCCAACTGTGCGCAGCGAGAACGTCATCAACCATGGCAGTAAACCATATCCGGGAGCCGGGCCCAGCCGATGCGTGCGCCTGGGCCCAGCCCACCTTGATCGCCACCGGGCGCCCGGCGGCAGCCGCATCACCAGCAACAGCAGCCAGCTGGGCTGCGACGCCACCACGCGCGCTAGCATCCACGCTCTCGTTCGTGGCAGTATCCACAACCCGGGCCGCAACACCAACTCCTGGGGCAATCAGGTGGTACCGAGCAGCTCTGCGGGCGCTCGGATCAACCAGCTCGCACAGTGCCACCGCCCAGTCCTCCGAGTGGACGGCCGGGAAGCTACCGCTAGCGGGCGAGGACGCGCTGCGGATCGAGACTCGAACACGCTCCGAGTTGCGCGTCGAAGCACCAAGCCAGATGAGGGCAGGCTCGCTCCCAGCACAAACCGGCGTCGATCGGGCAAGCAACTGACCGGCTCGGTTGGCGACGTTAAGGAAAACAAGCGCGTCCTCGCCCACGTCGCCCGACGAGAGAACAGAGACCGCGATACGGACCATGCCGGTCGTCGGCAGCACCCAGTTTGCCGACCCAATCGGGGCACTCTCGTCTTCCGGCACTGTCGTCATCGCAAGCGTGACGCTCCATCCAGCCTCGCTCTCCACCACCGGCCAGCGGCTCGGACCCAAAGCCCAGTCGGCCATGGTCCCATGGAGACTCCCGAGATCGACAACGCCACCGCCGCCGCCGAGAATGCCTCTAAGCCGGATTGCGAGTGTGACAGGCTTGCCTTTGCGGATAGCTCTCGTGTCCAGCTGCACCCGTGGGAGCACGGCCTCGTGTTTGGGATCCGACTTGAACGCCCGCTGGGCGACGGGGCCCACGCTCACTGGTTCGCTGACAAAGAGCGTCACTGGCGCACGGCAAGTGTCGATGACCTCGTAGACCACAGCCATGTCGGCCACTCCACGACGAGGACCGGCAATCAGAAGAGTCGGCACAAGCGTCGCCATCTGACTCTCGGCTCCGGTGCGATTCTCCGCAGCCGCACCGCTGGCCGAGACAACAACAAGCTTGCCAAGCGAGGCGTCATCACCAGCCGCCTTGATGGGCACCTCAGTCCACGACTGGACAATTTGTGTCCGACTCAGTGCAACGGTGCCCATCAGATTGTGCTTCCCATCGGGCTCAAAGTCCCAGACCCGGACGACGATGTCTGCTGCTGGGGCAGCCTCCAGCGCCGCTCCTGGAACAACAAGGCCTGGGAAGTGCGCGGAGCGGACGCCAGTGACCGGAGGTGTCCGGGCGACCGTAGCCGAGCCGACCGCAATCTCGAGGAATGGGTCCGCGTTGCTGTTCGAGCCAACCCGCGCCAAGTCGCGGAGCTTGAGATCAAGAACAAGGTCCGAGCCAGCAGGCACTGCGTTAGCCCACTGCTCACCAGCAACCGCCACGTCGCCGACATCGGCAAGCTCGCCCGGAGTGAGCAGCGTCTCCATCGAGGCAACCGCCCACGAGCCGGACGACTCGTCGGCGCCATGACAAGGGAGCTTGATGGGGCGGAGGAACGAGCCCTTGAGCCAGTCGGAGAGAGTGCAGCGGAGCGCGCCAAGCGGCGTGTGCGGCGCGGCCTTGACGCCACGGTCATAGATGCGGATCTCAAACTCGGCGTCAGCGCCGCCGACCGCAGCAGCCGGAAGCACAAACGGCGCCCACTGCGGGGCCTTGGTCTTGGGCCCCGCGGGCTCGGAGACGTACAGTAGAAGGCCCGGCGAGCCTGAGGCCGGATCGCGGCGGCCAAGGGCCCACAGCTCGAAAAGGCGCCGCCTTTGCGTGGCGAGATCTTGTTGCCAGCGCAGACGACTCGGACACCGGAGATGTCATTTGCAGCGGTCGCGGGCTCGCATGGCTGAATGGCATCGACAACAAAGGCGCCGCGCGATTTGGCGGTCGGGTAGGCGACAACGCCGTAGGCCGGCTCGACGTTGGCATCGTGGAGCGGATACTCGAATGGGACGCTGAGGAGCAGTTCGCTGAGGGTGGTGCGGTAGGCACCGAGCGAGTCGTGCGTCCCGTCCTTGTCCGAGTCAAAGACCACAATCTCGAGCGGAGTCGTTAGCTCGCCGACGTCAGCCATGTTGAGAACAAACGGCCGCCACTGCGGCGAGAGGCTCTTGGCCACCGTCTCCGAGCGGTAGAGAATGATGCCGCCGCTCGCAGCTGAGCCCGAGTGGAGATCGGACGGTCCTTTGCGGCGGGCAAGCTCCGGACTCAGCTTGATGACCTCGAAGAACGGGTCCGACTTGCCCATCGGTCCATCCATACGCGCCAGCTTGGCGCCGCGCACCGCCAGTCGGTAGGCGAGCGGAGCTGAGGCGCCTCCGCTTGGCCCAGCTCCGTCAGCCTCATCCACCGCACTTGCTCGTTGTGGGAGTTGCTCCCAGTCGAGGCCCATCACACTGAGCGCGCCGTAGAACTTGCCCGTACCCGGGCTGAGCAGCCGGAGCGATGCGTGCGGCGATTCGAGCTGGGCAACGGTGACCGCGACAACACCGAGCAGCTTGTGGCACCCGTTGGCCTTGGCCTCGTACACATCCAACAGCAACGAGGTCGTTGGGCTGATGCCCGGTGGAAGCCACACCCGCGCCCCGCCAAAAGTGACCTCCTTCCCGCTCTCCTGTGGCGAGCGGAAGAAAGTTGGCAGCGCGAGGCCGGGATCGTTGATTGAGAGCTGGAAGAAGACAGTCCGCTTGGTCTTGAGCCGCGCGGTGAGGCCAAACGAGACAGCCGCCGGCGGCGCGCCCATGCCGAGCGCCCACTGCGCGGCAATCGGTGGAGGCGACGGCAGCTGACCAAGGTCACTGACCCGCTGTGCGCCACGGACCACAAGGAAACCGTCCGGCTTGCTCCGTGGATTCAGCCGGAGGCTGAGGCGGGTCGGAAAGGCAAGCTGGCCGAGGCTGGTGGTGGTCGAGCCAATGAGATCAACAGAGCCATCGTCGTCGGCGTCGTAGACGCTGACCACAACCTTACGATCGGTCCACTCACCCCCGACGTGCCCCCATGATGGAGCCAGACAATAGCGGGCGCAAAGTGCGGACTCGATGAGTTGGGCACAACTTCCGAGGTAAAGATGACTTCGCCGCTACGCAACGCGATCTCGACAAACGGGTCCGACTTGCCCCGATGCCATCGCGATTGGCGAGCTTCTCGCCGGTGAGGTCAAGAACAAGCGCAACTGGAGGCTGCGAGAGCGGGGGCGGAAGCGGCGAAGAAATGAGCTCGGCGGCAACCACCTTGAGCGAGGCCTTGGGAAGGAGGACGCCGTCGCGGGAAAGAGCAAAGTGGGCGCCAACGCGGGCGAGCGAGTCGAGCTCGACAACAGCCTGGCCGATAAAGTCCATCGGCGGCTCGTCGTCCCAGTCAAAGACGGCGAGCGTGACCATGCCCGACGAGCCGATGGCAGCTTTGGCCAGCTCGAGCGGGGCAAATTGGCACGAGAGCGTCTGCAGATGGACCTCGGTCCGTGCCACCAGCTCCGCCGGGGAGGCAGGGATGCCAGTCTGGGCCCTCGCCCCGGGCATGATCTCGATGTACGGATCCGACTTTGCGCGAAAGCCCGAATCCATCTTGGGCAAGCCGTACGCAGCAAGAGTGAGCCTCAAGCCATAGACATCGTCCTGCGCGAGGCCAAGACCAAGCTCGTCCGAAGGCCAAGCAAAGCCGAGCGCTTCGGCCCACTTCTGAGCATCCGCAGCGTTTGCAGCGCGAAAGAGACGAGGCGACTCTGAGCTCTCGCCCGTAGGAAGGAGAGCAAAGGTACGAGCAGCATCTTTGGCTTCGATTTTTTTCGGAAAGCGAGAATGTGCATGCGGATCAATGACGAGGTGTGCAAGAGGGAGAACCGTCCGCGCCACGCCGCCCGTCTTGTCGGCCTCCTCCTGCGAGGCAAAGATGGACAGAAGGCTTCCGTCCACCGTCAGGTACCGCTTCTTCCACCGTCCGCGCTTGGTCGCTGGCTTCTTCTCCACCCATCCCTCATACGTCGTCTGTCGCGTCTTGCTGGCCATGGTCCCTCGCGTTCAGCCAAGGAGGCAAGGGGGGGGGGGAGACGGGTGGTCGGTGGTCGGAAACCAGCGCACGTGGCACGATGGCGGCGAGTTGACAATTTTTCATTTTTTGGCACGGGGCCGAGGATGGGGGGGGGGGGGG